AAGGTGAGTGCTATCCATGCCCAGGCCAAACTTCTCCAGATTGCTGATGCTGATCGCAAAAAGAAGCAAAAGGTCGAAGACAAGGATAAGCAATGGAGCGAAGCAAAGCTGAAAAGGAGACTCAGTCCCCGTCGAATTATCAGCGTCAGCATTAGCGGACGATCTAAAGACGGTGGTACTCTTGTCTCAATGCTCATCACCAGGGAAAATCTTGATGCCGTTACCGAGTATCCTTCTTACCTTGGCCTCTATGGATACATCGAATGGATGGAGATCAGAAATGCCATTCAGCAATCCAAGTCGAGACACAAGACACTTATCGAGGACACCATCAGCGAGCTTATGAAAAGGATGTCCAGGTATGTCAAAGTCCCTGACCGGCCAACTCTGAAGAAAGGTAAGAAGAAGACAACGCTCATTRATCCTAGTGAAGGACCATACCTGAGGAACGAACATGAAACAAAGTTCTCCTTGGATGAAGTCCTGAAGGGTCACATGAGTATTGACATTTCTATGCTGAATCTTGACTTGCCAGTTAAGGGTCCCTTTACAGCCAACACTGTGCATTTCAAACCTGAGTTAGGAGTTATATTCCTTGACTATGAAGGTGAAGTCAGATTTCAGAGAATGTCAGAGCTGCCTCTCTGTCCAATGGAACACTTGTTGTATTTCTTGCAATGGATAGAAGACAGTATGCCTGGAAAAGTCGTCGATCTGAAGATTCGAAGAGAGCTCCTTCGTAGAAGACAACTTGGTGAAGATGTACCTGAGTGCATAGATCTAAGTATGTTAGAATAAGTCTCTTTGTATCAACAATCCACTTTTCCTTGTAAATCTTTTCTATATCTGCTTTCATTGACTGTATTTACATTTCTGTAAATTTTGAACATGTACTGTAATACTTGTATTATTTCCTTTGTTTAATAAAATGAGTATTCCATGTGCTTCAYTGAAAAAGATCCCTGAAAAAAGTAATAGGGACACAAGTCTATGAGTTCTAATGTTACTTTTCTCGTTTACTGACAATCTCTTAGTCAGTGAATAAGCTTTCAGTTTCAGTTGCTGTACTTGTATTTCTTCTTAGATATAACTTAAGAGAAGTTTCAAGCTGAGACTGAACAAACTGAAAAAGATCCCAAAATAGTAAAAAGGGACATATACTTTATATGTTTCTTTTTCATTGCTATTATTTGATAAGATAACTTTCTTTATGTTATCTTGTTATCATCAAATAGGGGGAGATTGTTGATCCTCTCTCTCAGTGATTTGATGATAAT